AATTTAAATTAACTTTCGGGCAATTTGTTTTAGAAAATTTTAACATTTAGCATTTCATCTAAAATTTATAACAACATTTATAGGGACCATTGAAATGTACGGTCATTTAGGAGATACGTTTCAAATTTTCAAGGTTTAATTTGGGCTGTGGGACTTTGAAACGATATCAATTTCACCGTGGATTAAGATCCACATTTTGTGCATATATAAGTTACCATATATTACTCCTAACCGGCTTTGTTGCTTCTACGCCTTCCAGATTTCCCCCTTCGACTAACATTTGACAACCCCAATTAATAGGTATTTCTTCTCTTTCTGGAACTTTCCGTTACGGTCGCTAGCCGCCTTTCTTAAACCACCTGAAACATTCGTTCACAAAATTAATACTTAATAAACTTTACTGTTTTGATCATTTAGTTTGGGTTAAGTCTATCACTGATCAATATATTTTCCTCAATGCGCGATTCTCGTTCATTCTTTACTCTTGCGAGGACTATAAATTGTCTTCTGTTTATAGGTTCATTACATCGTTTAGAGCAGCATGGTTCTTAACTTTATGTGTGAATCCCGTTCGTTCATTACTCTTGCGAGGTCTATAAATTGTCGTCTGTTTATAGGTTCATTACATCGTTTAGAGCACGGTTCTTAAAGAAGAAAAATGTTGATTTCAAATTTGTAGATATATATTATATGATACATTTGAAGTTCTCAGATGTAAATATTCTGTATTTAATTTCTTTAAAAAAAACTATACTCAGTTCAGAGATAAATTGTAATCAAAATTAAGACTGAGATCGAAGGTAGAGGTTCACCATTAGGTATCAACCACGTGTCTGTATATGGTGTTATTAAGGCAAGTTTCTGATAAAAGCTATTTAGGAACATTCAAATACTTCATACAACTATATGAATAACATGGTCTAAAATAGTTATTGGAAAGGCTTTTAATTAAGAACTTGCTTATGTTCAAGCTTTTTATGCAACAAATCATACGTACTTAATTATTTTATATGCTCGATGAATTAGTATTTCTCTGGGGTCTTGTTAAAAGAAATTAGTCTATAACTATCAGAATTAAAATACGAGCCTCTAAATAAATAAAAGTGTTAAGAACATGGAAGTCGATGTTCGACTGTAAACTTGATGTTAGTATGTTTATTGTTGTGACAGTTCAAAAGACTATTAAAATGTTAACAATAACGGATCTTATATTGAAGAAGGGTGTTTAAGAAGCCAGCCGTTTTCATTGTGCAAAGTAACAAGTAAGCTTATCTTAACCCGATACTCACATCATCTACTTGATCACACAGATCACTGTCAAATTGAAACACGTTATCAACTTGATCACACTGATCATCGTCAAACTCAAACACATCATCTACTTGATCACACAGATCACTGTCAAACTCAAACACATCGTCTACTTGATCACACAGATCATCCTCAAACTCAAACACATCGTCTACTTGATCACACAGATCATCCTCAAACTGAAACACATCATCTACTTGATCATACAGATCACTGTCAAACTCAAACACATCGTCTACTTGATCACACTGATCATCGTCAAACTCAAACACATCATCTACTTGATCACACATATCACTGTCAAACTGAAACACGTCATCTACTTGATCACACAGATCACTGTCAAACTGAAACACGTCATCTACTTGATCACACAGATCACTCACTGTCAAACTGAAACACGTCATCTACTTGATCACACAGATCACTGTCAAACTGAAACACGTCATCTACTTGGTCACACAGATCACTGACAAACTGAAACACGTCATCTACTTGATCACACAGATCACTATCAAACTGAAAACGATATTCACTGGTGGTAAAATTCACTAGTTACTGAAACATACTTAGGAAATCTTATTTGATTACTTTTGATTGGAGCTTTATGAATATACGTATCGTTCCATGTAACGGGACGGAGTGTTAATTTTGAGAAACGTAAAACCAGAGAAAACAAAACTACTTTTGATAATACAAGCATCGCGAAAGGTTCCGAAAACTGAACTCAGAAACTAGGAACTTTGTGATTATGTATCCCAATTACAGACACAATCGGACAGCTATCTTAAAAAAATAGGACACAGTCGGACAGCTATCTTAAAGAAATCAGACACAATCGGACAACTAGCTATCTTAAAGAAACTTGGGTATTCCATACATAACATCAGCATGAGTATA